TGCATCAACGCATTTAATCTGTGATTCAAACAGATCTCCTTGGTCGGGTGCGGTGGCTTATGCCTGTAATCCCAGCACTTTCAGAGGCCGAGGCAGGTGGATCACGAGGTCAGGAGTTTGAGACCATCCTGGCCAACATGGTGAAACCCCGTCTCTACTGAAGATACAAAAATTATCTGGGTGTGGTGCTGCGCGCCTGTAATCCCAGCTACTGGGGAGGCTGAGGCAGGAGAATCGCTTGAACCTAGGAGTCGGAGGTTGCAGTGAGCCGAGATGGCACCACTGCACTCTAGCCTGGGTGACAGAGCAAGACTCTGCCTCAAAAAAAAAACAAAAAAACAAAAAAACTCTCCTTTTAAAAGTTATAGAAGAAACTGAAATTATTCTAATTAAGAATAGCCAGACCTATGACACTATTTTGTTCTATTTCTTTCCTTTGATCAGGTCTGGGATGATCATTTTTCAAATCTTCCAATCATCATTACCTTAGTCACTTTTCCTGTGTGTTCATCTGCACAGGCACCCCGGCAGTGGTTGCTTTGTTAATGGCTCTGGGCCACACCTTCTCTCTCCTTTGCTCTGTGGTGGTCTACGTCTTGATTCTATGTGAATGGCTCCTTTCAGAAAGTCCCACCATGATCAAACCAACTAGACATGGTTCCTCTGTTTTCCAACCCACCTCCCACCCAAGTTAGGCCAATGCTTGATCAGAAAGGCACTATTTACTCACCTTAGAATTTCAACAGTTTCCTTATCAGAGCACTCATCTCATCAAAGGAGAGGCCAGAAAGATTATTTTATAATCTGTGGAAGTAAAAGTTCTTCTCTCTCCTTCATCCTCTAAGAGATAAATGGAGATGATGCAAGTGATTTTCCTTTATAATTTGCTTTTTGTTTAAAATTTCCCCCATGTTTACAAAATAATTCCTATCTATGCCTAGAGAATTATTGGAATGAGAGTCACTGAATGCTAATAATAGTTTCTTAGGGAGGAGGCATGTAGGGTGATTTTTATTTTAGATACTGGTTCCTGCTCTTTAGTTTTCTGTATTGATTGACTTAAAATTGAACATGTAAAGTTTCGTTAAAAAATAAGGCCATTTAAAACATGTTTTTTTTTTTGGTTTGTTTTAGAAATGGGAGTCTCTTTATGTTGCCCAGGCTGGACTCGAACTGCTGGGCTCAAATGATCCTCCCCGCTCAGCCTCCAGAGCAGCTGGGACTACAGGTGCACATGACCATGCCTGGCTTAAAAGAAAGTCATTTTAAGAAGGAATTTTTAAAAGCACACACACAGCAACAATGCCATACTTTTTCAAATCATTTTGTGTGTGTGTTAGTTTCTGAACAGCTCACTCAGCAGACCAGTTAACCTTTCAGGCCAGGTTAACACATTTCTTCCCAAGCTCTGTTCAAGGCATGTTTTGAGATGAAAAGAAAGTTTCTATGAATATGGAGGAAATGTTCTCCTTCATTTCAGAAGGCATAGTTGAATTATATTATCAGCTCACGAAGCCTTTGTAAAATACACCTAATGGGTTTTTTTTTTTTTTTTTTTTTGGTCAGACTTCTCTAAAGACAACCAAAATGGTCAGTTGGGAAAACTGTTCAGAAGTTACAGCATGTGGGCTCTTCCCAGCATCTTTAAAAAGAAAGAAACTAGCCAGGTGTGGTGGTGCCTGCCTGTATTCTCAGCTACTCGAGAGGCTGAGGCAGGAGGACCATTTGAGCTCAGGAGTTCGAGGCTGCAGTGAGGTATGATCGCTACACTGCACTCCAGCCCGGGGGACACAGCAAGAGCGCATCTTTAAAAAGTTAATAACAAATAATAAAGTAATTGAAAAGAAAGTGAGTCTTGCTATAAATAAATGCCAGTTCTCCCTTGTTGAGCATCATCAGCTACGCTTTGGATATGCATTCTTGGAGTTGATTTCAACTTTCTTTTTTCTTGTTTTGAGGAGCATGCTCAGATTTAAACTTTTAATTGAAGTGTAATATGCATGGAAAAATGCAGATCTCATAAATACACAACTCAATTAATTTTTAAACTCAACATTCTTCTGTAACCATCCCTCAGATCAAGAAACAGAATTTTATACACCTACTGTGTACCTACAAAGATTTAAAAAATAAAAAAGGGGAAAGAAAGAATCAGTATACAATATATCAGCACCCCAGAAGTGCCCCTCATATCTTCTTACAATCGCTAACCCCCTACCTCCACCCCAAGGGTAACCACAATCTTTTTATTATTATTATTATTATTACTAAGTTTATTTTCATTGTCTCAGGTCTGCTGAACTCTGGATCCAGGCTGTGTCAATAGGGTAGTGTGGTGCCTCCTGTACCTATCTCTGCCTCCTACAGTTCTTTTTATTTATTTTTGATAGTAGAGACACGGTCTTGCTATGTTGCCCAGGCTGGTTTCAAACTCCTGGGCTCAACAATCTTCCTGCCTCGGCCTCCCAGAGTGCTGGGATTGCAAGTGTGAGTCACCGCACCCGGCCAAGTCCTTTATCATCTCCCAAGAAGACTATGAGAGAGATTTGGGGCCCAAGTTGATAATATCAAATACACTGAACTTGACTGTGTTCACCATGTTCTGGCTCTAGAGAAATGAGAGCTGCTAGTGAGGGTGGTGCCATTCTGTGTATCTTCTGTACCTTGAAGTCTCTCAGAAATCTTGCCCCTGGTCTTCTTGTTCTAAGGACACAACAGGCTCCCTTTTTCTCTGGAGATGAAATCTAGATCTTCGATTTTGGAACCAAATTTGGACTCTTGACTCTGGAACACTAATTTCTTTAGCAAGTTGCTTCCTGGAATCAGTCCTAGAGTATGGGTTTTTCAAAAATGCCTTGATGAGAGGGCATAATTGAGAGGCACTGTAGGTGGTACAACACCGTCGAGCTTCTCTGCTTTGAAACTCTGCACCAGGTTGATCTTGTCCGTGGCTCTGGCTTGATTCTAAAGTCTCTGGTTCTGGTCTTTTCTAGAATCCACGCCTAGCTCTTCAATTCTGAAACCAGATCTGGATTTTTGACTCTTCTGTATTGATTTATAAACCAAGTTTTTGTTTGGTAGAATAACCTGAGCAAAGTTTTTGATTGAAGGTATTGATGAGGATTTTCAATTGATCTGTGAGTTTGCTGCAACTGTACCTATAATTTGTTGCTACCATCTTGTGTGAAGAGGTGTCTTTGGTCATGCTGGAAGAGAGTCCTGGAAGCTGAACTACTGTCTGGGAGACCCATAATCTCAGCTTCTTCATTCTGCCAGTTTTGTACTTTATGTAAGTGCAGTATTGACTCTTTCCTGTTTAGCTTTTCATTCAAACTCATGCTTGTGAAATTCATCTAATTTTGCGTGTAATTATAGATAATTCATTTTCTTTTTTGTATGGTATTCTACTGTGCAAATATATTACAATTCATTCTACTGTAGATGGTCATTTGGGTAATTTCAGTTTTGAGCTATTATAATCAGTTATTATAATTATAATCAGCTATTATAATATACTATGCACATCTAGTACATGACTTTTGGTAAACATTGTAAACATTTCTGTTAGGTATGTGCATAGGAGCAAAATAGGGTATGCAAATGTTTAGTTTGCTAGACACTACTCAACAGTTTTCTGAAGTGGTTGTACCAATTTACCACCAGCCATACATGAGTCCCAGTGGAATATAAATGTAGAATTTCAATTTTTATAAGAGTTGTGCTGAATGGTAACTCTGGAGCTACCCTGAGCCCCAAAGATGATGAGGCAGAGGAGTTTTTCCAAAAAGTTCGAATCACCATTACTTCTTCACGTTCATTTTCAGGTCAAAACACTCCTGTATGTCAGGTATGGTGGTGCACGCCTGTAGTCCCAGCTACTCAGGAGGCTGAGGTAGGAGAATTGCTTGAGCCCAGGAGTTCGAGGCTGCAGTGAACTATGATCACACCACCGGACTCCAGCCTGGGTGACAAAGTGATACCCCTGTCTCTAAAAAAAATAGTGAAATAAATAATAATAATGATAATCATAATAAATTCTTATAAAATAGACAGAGGTATGCTTTATGCCATTTTCTCCTGAAGCTGAGGAAATAAGACAAAAGAGATCAAATGTGTTTTCTAAGAGCCCTACTAATCCTGTATTTCCCATTCTAGCTCCAGAGCTTTGATTTTAGGTGCATGTGCCTACCTGTGAATTTGTTACACAAAAGGCATGCTCAGGCTGAGGCTGGCATTTCTATAACATTGCTAGTTTCAAACCACAAGTCTGAATGCCATGAACCCTCATAGCATGTGAGGGTTTATTCCGCTGACAATTAGCCAGGTAGAAAGGGCATATTCATACTCTCTTGCCTGAACTTGGAGCTTTTCTGACAGTTTTTTGTTTGTTTGTTTTTGAGACAGAGTCTCACTCTGTAGCCCAGGCTGGAGTGCAGTGGCATGATCTCAGCTCACTGCAACCCGGCTTCCCAGGTTCAAGTGATTCCCCTGTCTCAGCCTCCCGAGTAGCTGGGATTACAGGCATGTGCCACCACGCCTGGCTAATTTTTTTGTATATTTAGTAGAGTCGAGGTTTCACCATGTTTGTTGGCCAGGCTGGTCTCGAACTCCTGATGTCAAGTGATCTGCCCACCTCGGCCTCCCAAGGTGCTGGGATTACAGGTGCTGACAGTTTTAAATGGAAAAAGGAGCCTATCCAGGTTTCCTAGCCTGGTTTCTCATCAGCCTCAGCTGGGCAGCTTTTTAAGCTACAGGTTTCCCCATCCCCACTCAAGGACAATTGAACTGAGGTCCTCGGAATTGGGACTTGGGAATCTGTATTTTATGAAGTTCTCAAGTGGTTCTGATTAAACTGGAGGCCAGTAGCAAACCTTTGACAGGAATCACTGTTGCTCTCATTTTTTAAAAAATAACCATCCAATACACTTTACCAAAATCCTGAGAACAAGCAAAGAAAATGAATTTAAAGTCAGACTTTCCCCCTTCTTTAAAATACTCTATCAAAAGACGGTATTTTGGGCGCTAGGCTTCCTTCTGCAACAGGCATGGGACTCGCTCTTGCTCGCTCTCTTTCTGCCGCCATCTTGATTCCCCATTCCCTCCACAAAATGCCCGGCGAAGCCACAGAAACCGTCCCCGGTATAGAGCAGGAGTTGCTGCAGCCCCAGGCTGAGACAGGGTCTGGAACAGAATCTGACGGTAATGAGTCAGTACCAGAGCTTGAAGAACAGGATTCCACCCAGGTAACCACACAACAAGCCCAGCTGGCGGTAGCAGCTGAAATTAATGAAGAACTAGTCAGTAAAGCAAAACAGAGGCGGAGTGAAAAGAAGGCACGGGAAGCTGTGTTCAAACTGGGTCTTTGACAGGTGACAGGAGTTACTAGAGTCACTATCCGGAAATCTAAGAATATCTTCTCTGTCATCACAAAACCAGATGTCTACAAGAACCCTGCTTTGGATACCTGCATAGCTTTTGGGGAAGCCAAGATCAAAGATTTATCTCAGCAAGCACAACTAGCAGTTGCTGAGAAATTCAAAGTTCAAGGTGAAGCTATCTCAAACATTCAGGAAAACACACAGACTCCAACTGTACAAGAGGAGAGTGACGAGGAAGAGGTCGATGAAACAGGCGTGGAAATTAAGGACATAGAATTGGTCATGTCACAAGCAAATGTGTCTAGAGCAAAGGCAGTCGGAGCCCTGAAGAACAGTAATGATATTGTAAATGCTATTATGGAATTAACAATATAACCATCTGAAAGCAACTTTTTTCGGTGTCTCAAAGGAGTAACTGCAGCTTGGTTTGAAATTTGTACTGTTTCTATCATAAATAAAGCTGTGGCTTCCTGTTGGATGAAAAAAAAAAAAAAGACAGTATTTTGCCAAATTAAACAGAAAAGGGAGTTCAGTGGAAGATGGCTCTGATTTCAGGGTAATAATAATGGTAGGTAACAATTAAATGGCATTTAAAAAATTGCTGAATGCTTGCTGGGCACAGTGGCTCAGACCTGAATCTCAGCACTTTGGGAAGCCGAGGCAGGCAGATCACCTGAGGTCATGAGTTCGAGACCAGCCTGGCCTACATGGTGAAACTCTGTCTCTACTAAAAATACAAAAATTAGCTGAGTGTGGTGCTGTGCACCTACAACCCCGCTACTCAGGAGGCTGAGGCAGGAGAATCACTTGAACCTGGGAGGCGGAGGTTGCAGTGAGCTGAGATTGCACCAGTGCACTCTAGCCTGGGCGACAAAGTGAGACTCTGTCTCAAAAAAAAAAAAAGGTTGCTGAATGCTTTCACATATTTTATTTCACTTAATCACTCAGGATCTCTTTAAGGTAGACATAATAATTCTCAATCTACAGAAGATGATATTGAGGGTTGGAGGTTAAATGCCTCATCTGAGGACATATATGCATGAAATGGCATAACTAGGACACAAACCCAAGTTTCCTGATTCCAAATTTTACCTACTTCTCACTATCCCGCAGTGCTCTGGGAGTCAGGAAGCTCCCTCAAGGTCAATAGGAATTAAGTGTTTTGACAACTCTGAATAAGCGCCATGAGTCTAACTGGACTCCATTCCATTCTCCTCCCCTCCCTCTCTTTGCCCTTCTCCCTTCCTTCAATATCCTTTTAGTGTCTCCCAAGCAACAGGTTATTTGCAATGTGCTAGGGAATCAGAGATTAAAGAAAAAGTCCCTACCCTAAAAAAAATTCATAGTCTAGTGGGGAGATAGACAAATCATTGTGTGGTGATGCACTAAACATCAACCCAAATAGGTCAAAATTGGAAGGGGAAATTATGCCCTGATCACCAATCCAAGTGGCCATGTAAATTTATAAGAAGCCTACATCCCTAAAGGTAAGGAGAACTTGCTTTGATGAACTCTCACTTCAAAGGAGGCTGTTTTATTTGGAAACAATTCCTCTGCCTTCAATATCCTATTAGTATATCCCTCAAAATGTGTGTTTAGATCTTTAATTGCGTAACATGTGTTTACCCTTTCATGATTAAATTCAGAAGCATGCCATCTTAGTAGTGGTTCATTTGCATACTCTTTCAGGAATGATAATGTTCAAAGAGGTATAGGGGCCTTAAAGAAGTAGGGGAGGGCTGGGCGCAGTGGCTCATGCCTGTAATCCCAACACTTTGGGAGGCTGAGGTGAGTGGATCACAAGGTCAGGAGTTTGAGACCAGCCTGCAGCCTGGCTAGCATGGTGAAACCCCGACTCTACAAAAACAAACAAACAAACAAACAAAAAGTCTAGGGATAGGCTTAGAGATTTCCTTCTAGGTCGTGTGTATAGGAAAAACAACTTCCAAGATACTAGGGAGATAATTCTGTTTGTAGTCAGCAACCAGGCTGGATAGAGCATGGATAGGTAGATGAGTGTGTTCACAGGTGTGTGGCAGAGGTCAGTAGCAGACAAACTTTCCAACATACTGCTTCAATAATTGTCTTCATTAGTGGCAATAAACTATGCACTTTGCTTTCAAACACCTAAGAATTATTCAACAATAATAATTAGTCGCTGGGTGCTCCCTGGGTACCAGCAGCTTCTTAGGCATAGGAAAAGGAGACAGATACATTTCTGCCCCATGCTTCTCCAAATAGACTACTGATGACCAATCAGACATTCCTAGAAAATTGAGTGTGAGCATTGCTCTTAAATCTAACACTTTCCATAATTGCTTAACCCACTTGACATTTCTGAAGCCTTGCACACTCTTGATGGCCCATTTCTGAGTATTAGTCTCCTTCTCATCTTCATTATGTCCCCTCTGAGCAATTGTGACATCCTCTCCACTTCCCTCTCTGCTGCAGGGTCTCCAACTTTGAATCCAGTCTCATCTTTCAGTTATCCATTGAGGTTATCTTTGCTCTGCTTTACAACTATAATGATAACTGAGAATTGCATGGGCTTTTAAAACATTTACAGAGAAAGTTCCATCCATTATCTGAATCAAAAATCACTGAAAGCCTCATTGAGTCCTGGCCCCAGCCCTCGAGGGGAGCACTGATGTTCATCCCAGTGTGATGAACCTGTCATCGTGTGATGGACTGACACTCTCTTTTAATCCTTGATTCTTGTTCTTTCTATCTGTTTCGGGGGGGTTCCTAGGAAGCACACCATGGGATGAAGGTTCACATACAGGAGGTTCATAATGAATATTTTTGGGGTCAGTGCTGTGGAAGAAGAGGAGGGGAGGAAGCAGGATTGGGCAGAGGAAGAAGTCGCGCTGCAGTACAATCTCAAAGAAAGTCTCGTTTGACCTGACTTAGAATTCTGAAGATGGGATGACTCTTCTGAACTGTCTGCTTGTGAAGTTAGACTGACAGCTGAGGGTCGTGGGCCGGCAGCACCCTCAGCAGTGAGGCAGGTGAGTCCTTCAGTCATGAATGGGCATCCGGGCAGTACATCACAGCATCCACAACACGATTCCTCGTGCATGACATTCACTCAACACAACTGACTTGACTTGCTGTCTTGAGCCTCAGTATCTAGAGCAGGGAGCTCATGGAGAAGGGGAGCTGAGTGCCTGGGGCCAGGACCACTACCCTTGGTGGTGGCAGAGCAAAAAAGAGGCTAGAATGGGTCTGATCAAATCCCAGCAGATAAACGAGCAAAGGCCGAGGTCAGAGCAAAGCAGACAACCATATTTCTTACCTCAAGTCTTTATTTATTTATTTATTTATTTATTTATTTATTTATTTAACAGATTCTCACAACTGCTATCCTGGAAATTCACCATCACCCCTAAAATATCTAACCACATTGTCAATTGTGCTGCCTGGTCAAGGACTGGGGACCTGTCTCAGAATGATCTTTCTTAAACACAGATCTAGTCATGACTTGGTTTTGCTCAAAACGTTTCAATGGCTCCTGATTGCCTGAAGAATAAATTTCAAATTTCTAAGTAGACTCTCCAGCTGATCCTGTCACTTGAATGAGCCTCTCTCTCTTCTGGGTCCGGTGAAATCTCTCTTGTGGAAAGCTGTTGAGAATGCCTGCTCCATAACCAGCTGCGAGTCATCACTCTTCCTGACTGCTTTGTTTATACTGTTACAGTAGCACTTAGCAAACTTTACTGCACTTCGCTGCATGCAAATCTGATAGGTCGCTCTGATAGAATGTAAACTCCGTGAAGGCCAGCCTGGGCTCCTCCATGTCAGCAGAGCTCCATAAATACTTTCATGTTTTAAATGAGTAATGAATAAACCGTTTTTAAAAATGCTTTCTCTTTTACTCCTATCAGATCTTTCCAGGAAGGATAAGCTAGAGAGAAATTGTTTCTACTGAGAATTCACTTTAATATAAGGCTCCCTGAGAAGAGGTTCTGAAATAAACAAAATAGCTGGCACCATCATGAGATCCTAGAAATGCTCCTTGGACAAACCTGAAAGTCCTGAGGAAGTAAGATGCCTAGTACCATAGTCTTGGGTGATTTGCTATAATGCTCTCTCTGTTAGAAAGAAAGTTTTAAAAATAAAAGCTTTTTTTTGGGGGGGGGAGGACAGAGTCTCAGTTGTCCAGGCTGGAGTACAGTGGCACAATCTAGGCTCACTGCAACCTCTGCCTCCTGGGTTCAAGTGATTCTCCCGCCTCAGCCTCCCGAGTAGCTGAAATTACAGGTGCCTGCCACCATGCCTGGCTAATTTTTTTGTATTTTTAGTAGAGAGGGGGTTTTTCCATGTTGGCCAGGCTGGTCTCGAACTCCTGACTTCAGGTGATCCACCGGCCTCAGCCTCCCAAATTGCTGGGATTACAGGCATGAGCCACTGCACCTAGCCAGAAAAGCTTTGACATACTTCTTTCAAATGATTTTCAAATGAGAAAATATAATTAATGTGTATCAAAAGGAAATTCATAATATCCATTTTCTCCTGTGGCTGTTACCTAGCCAAAAACCTTTGGCAACTATGATTTCAATATTCTTTACTTTGCTGTAAGAAATCGATGTGATCTAATGAACAATTATGAATTTATTGACACCAGGAGACTGGGCTCTAAAAGGACAAGCAGGTGCTTTGCTAAGCAACCCTAACAATCTCTGCTGACGGAAAAGAAAAGAAGACAGTCACTGCCGCCAGGTGTGCTTAACCCCACATGCTATTCTCAAGAAGGGTTGACACAACCATCACAGAATGGGAGACCCAAATCCCCTCCCACAAAAACCTTTTGGTCACGCAGCACTTACCACGTGCCGGGCGCCATGAGCTTGAGCTCCATGCTTACAAGTCTCATGTAATCTTCGCAAGAACCTAAGAGATAAGAAAAACTTTCATGACTTGCATTTTATAGCTGAGGTTTTCAGAAGTTAAGGAACTGCCCAAGATCATGGGTCCTCTCAGCTGCAAGGCAGGACTAGAATAGAGTTCTGAGTAACTGAAGCCTGCGCCCTAAACCTGCTCCTTGTGAACTTGACTGCATGTTAGAATCATCCTGGGACTGTGGAAAGATGCAAAATAAATCAGACAAGCAACAACAACAAACAAATAAATATATATATTGTGACATGGTGTGAGGGCTCTCTAGAGAAATACAGGACAGAAAAAGAATAGTGATGTGTGGAGAAAGGGTAAGTTGCCATGTTAAATGATGTCAGGAAAATGGCTAGGGAAATAATCAGTGAGATTACACATTAGCAAAGATATGAAAAAAATGGGGGAGCCGTGTATGTATGTCGGGGAAGAGGTTCCCAGACAGGGGCTATATGGCAGGCAAAAGGCCCTATTGTAGAACAATTGGCCAGTGCAACTACAGAGACTGCGACTGGGGGTTGGGGGGCGGAAGATGAGGTCAGAGAATCACATGAGAGTTTGTAAACCACGGACAGACTCCTCCCCTCTTACAATGTAAGTCTACTGGTTAAATTATTGATATTCCACTTTTTACAAACATTTAAAACATATATAAAACCACATTAAAAACATATCTTCAAAGTTGGAACACCTGAGCCAATGTTTGGGACAGAGAATGGAGGGG